TAACCAATCAATAATCAGTAAAACGCGAAACCACAACAGCGGATCGCTTCTAATTGGTTACGCGGTTACGCGATACGCGGTAAATACACCTCATGGGACTCCAGCCTCATACAAAAGGCATTTCATATTACTGCTGAAATTTTGGGCTAATTTCTGATTGGTTGTTCTAGTACTTTTCCGCCATTATGCGCAATGAAATACCTTATATTCTTAAGGCCCGTCTACAATACATGGAGTAAGAAGTAAGAGTAAGAAATTGACCAATCACAGTCGAATGTGAGAAGAATAATCGATTGTGATTGGTCAATTTCTTACTCTTACTTCTTACTCCGTGTATTGTAGACGGGCCTTTATACCATGACTACGACCATCCGATAAAGGATTCCAAAGTATGCGCAGTAGCAGTAACATACCGATAGCATTTGATTGGTCGATGATAGTAAAATGCAATGCCGATAGCGTTTGATTGGTCAAAATTTGCCCCCTCTTTGCCCCATCATGCGCAATGATTCACAATTTCGATTCCACCATACTACGACTACCTCTAGTTAGAAATATCAGGATGGTCATTCCAGTTTACGCCAGAAAGAAACCAGAGAATGGAGTGGAGTAGAGAGGGCGTATCCTATTTTAGACAAATCTCCGTTTAGTAACACCTCTATGTACACAAACCGAGTATGTTAAACTATTCAGCCACAGATATTTCTAGGTGCAGAGAGGTTCCTCTCTGCTAGGGGTAACATATTAACAATAGATATGCCCAGTGAGAAATGATAATGGTCTCGACATCGAATCGATTGTTATTTCTCACTGAGTATGGCCATTGCACGGAATATAACTAAACCAAGAAAAAAATCACGAAAACTGTGAATATGTCAAGTTTTAAGCGCTTGAAATATTTATAATGTATACATAGTACAAATATATAACTTTTCAAATAAATAATTGAACAAGAAATACAATTACTCTTCATTATACTAGTATTATGTATATATTGTATTATAATCTCACCATCAATCTTCTTAATTACAATTGTAATTGACAAACTAATAAATTTCGTAAATATTCTAAGTTGTTAATAATAAAAATAAAAAAGATGTGAACAAATATTTATTATAAATAATTATTCTTAAGAAACTTCTTACCGATTATGATAATTGTTATAAAAGAATAATAAAGTTTACACCTTTCATAGCTCGGTTTTTGAATTGACCGGTGGTAGAATCTTCTTATTTATAGTTGAAATTTAAACGAGCGAATTATACAATATATTTTCTATTGTAATCATTTTTTAATTTATATATTATTATATCTAGTTAATATAATCATCTACGTATAAAAGGAGGGTACTTGTGATCCAATCTATTCAAGTACAGATACAATTATTTATATTTATTTCATTATAAATATTTTTATATTGTTACAAAACTTCAGTTCGATAAAGTTGTAATCACAGATAATTATACTTTAAGATTTATAATATTACATTAACAAATCGGTAATATTATATTGTCAGGGAAAAAATGTTTTATATATAAGTATATATAATTATATAAAATTATTACATAAAATTATATATAAAATTGACATATTTCATTTACAATCGTATATAATTGTTTATAAAATATGTTCATAGCATTTTCTAGAATATGATAATTAAAGTATAAAGTTTATAGGATTACAAATTCATGTTAAATACATATTCATATTGTAGGAATACATATGATTATGTGTATGTAACACACAAAAATTCGTGGACACATATCTAGGACTAATTATACTCCGCATGTAAATATTTTTAATTGTTATTATTTTGTAAATAACGTACTAATAATTTATTTGTTTTAAAAATGCTATCTATATAATATTGTCATATGTACTACTGTAATGCAAGTCTTTTATTCTTTGTTATTATTATAATTATACACTATTTCAAAATAGTCTAAATTATAATGTTTTTTTACGTTATGTTATTTAATGTGCATTATAATAAAATCCTGATTTGTCAAGTTGCTTTTTCGCAGGAATCTAATACTAATGTAACACTATTGATATCAAGAATGAATTTAACTGCAAATAAAGACATTGACTGCGTATCAATTACATTACTATACGAATCAATTGTATTGACAGTTGCGTTATATCACATAATAATTATAATATTACATGCTACAGAGCATAAATTAAATGCTATCCTATTGTCGGATACTATTATTCGAATCACATTCTTATGAATGTTAGTCTTCTTAATGTAAAGGAGAACCGAAGCTCGTTCATTGTCAATGTCAAGTTAGATTGTATATTTCTAGCTTCTGCTAAATTGTATATTACATTTAAATATAAACGTATACGTAACTGGCATTTATCAGAAAATCGAAATTCCGGCAATGTATTTTTTAGAGATAAATGTTAATTTAAACGTTGCTCTTCATAATCTAGAGATGTATCCGATTCGTTACTATAGATTACCAGTAGTTCCCCCTTACATTCAGGAAAGCAAAGGCATAATTCATAAAATACCATTGACATTTCTGATGTATGTCTTATTACGTTTGTAGCTATTTTGAATATAGATTGCCTGGGCCACGCTAAGTATAAATAGGGAGATGTACATATTTTTCCGCAATGGAAGCAATTATCGATTTTATTTCTACTAATATGTTCATTCAATTCATCTCTTCGGAAAATTACATGTCTATCTCTGTGAACATATTGATTTAATTTATTACATACATTATTAAGTAGAAATTTGTATGATGTACCCTATTTTTTCTAAAATTACATTATAGTACACAACAAGTCCAAAAAAACAACGTACCTGCAATATTGCTGCAGTGCTTTTGCTGCAAATTGAGCAAGGCTTGGTAACATTATGTTACATTCCCAATCTATGTCACTGACTAATGGATTCATTGAAATATCTATAGTTTGCAATTTCAAATTAGTGATCCCGGCTGGTAGATATTTTAAAAAGTTATGCGACAAATCCAAAGTCCTAAGATTTCGAACCTTTTCAATGCCTTGTGGTAAATATCCCAACAAGTTGTGACTTATTTTCAATTCAACTAAAGCATTCAAATTCCAGATATATTCCGATAATTCGATCAGCTATAAATTAATGACATTCATAATTGCAGTGCGATTAATTATAATTGTTAATTTGCACAAGTTATAAGTAACGTACCTGTTAGATGTAATTTTCCACTCAACAATATAACTGTAACATAACACACGTGTTACATTACGGTTATGTTATTGAGTAGAAAATTACAACTAATGGGTACGTTACATGTAACTTTATGTTCATTAGGTCTTTATTTATGGCAACATCGCTTTAATTAGTGATTGTGATATTTTACAATGACTTACCGAATTATTACTTATATCTAGAAAACGTAAAGTTCTCTTAATTCGTGCTTCTTTTAGCCATACCCATCCAGAATATCGTCCCAAACAATTGTATGATAAATTGAGCTGTCGAAGACAATGCAAAGCGCCCAATTTTCTCGGCAACACATCAATTTTATTATTTGATATGTTCACATCTGTTAAATTTATCCACCTTGTACTATTATTGAAGCTCGTGAATAATGGCTCGTAAAACTTCCAAAGTAACATAAATTTTTCTATCCGATTTTCTAAAATTCGACGTTTCTTCTTAATTGGCGGATCTTCAAATATTTCAGAACTTTTTGTCTCATATATAATCTGTATTGAAAATAATTATTTAAATTAGATTTGTGATTGCTAAAGTCATTATGCTACGAGTTTAAAATAATAATACTTAATATTATATAACTATAATACATGTAACTTCTCAAGTGAAGTGATTAATAAGAAATAAAAATATTTTTTACTAATACATATTATAGCAACTATTCACCATTGTGCAAAAACAATGTAAGTCTTATATTGTAATTATATATTATTAAGAATCAAATAAATTTTGTAATTCGGGGGTTGCTAATAATATACGTTGCTGATAATATACAAAATTTGAAGATCTTTGTCGTGAATATATAATTTATCCCAAGATTCCTGCAAAAATCCATAAAAATTATTTGGTCTGAAAGGATCTGATATATGTAAAAGATGTATGAATTTTCGTGATTTAGGCTTAATAAACACTTACAAATTATTACGTCCAATGTATCTCACGTTCTGTTTAAGAAACCAAATTTTTAAATATTTACATAAAAAGAGAGTCTACTGCACATGGTATTGTTTTTATCACACACTTGCTTGTTTTATTACTGCTTTTGTGTAGAAAAATTTAGTATTCCATAGACTTGTAATTTCTAATTTATAACATTGCGGTTTTCTTGTCAATTCTAAATTAGTTAAGGTGATGTTCTGACACGAGCTTCGAGGCAACTGTCGTATTTGGTTATTACTTGTTGTTTTATATTAGAGTGACACTGATACAAATGTGAAACAGTATATTGTAAAGGTCGATTTTAAACTAAAGATTATAACTGACATTAAAATAATAATAACGCGCTCGTTACATTTATCATTCAGAAAATTCTGTTTTCTGAGACTTACAAATTGTGTTTGCCAATTTTCAAAATTTATATACATTATATATATAGTTAAATTTATGTTCAAATAATAAATAGATACTTAAATGATACATTATAAATTACTTATCACAGTTTTAAATATTAAAATCTAAATACATATATTATAGAAACTATTCAATATACAAACAATATTAGCACGACTTAATATATCTTAAGGAACATTTTTTTATAACGATAAATACAATATTTTTTCGCGGATAACACGGATTCAAGAATTTGATTCATGTGAATTTATCCAATCTAATCCGTTTTCTCGTTTGCTGAGTTGGGTGCACTTCTGTTAACCACATTTGACGTTTGGTTTACTGATTATGTGATAATTAATTTTGTTAATGTGTGATTATAAAAACTAAACTTTAGTTGAAAACAATAATTTGATTAAGTTACATTATAATATGAGGATATGTTAGAAATTTTTCAAAAAAATTGTGCACTTTTAATTTAATTGTATCAGAAACAAGAACTACCATTAATCATTATTTCATGACTACCCCAGTTTAGAAATGTCAGGTTAGTTTATTCTAGTTTAATCAGAAAGAAATCTAAGAGTAAAGTGGAGTAGAGAGGACATATCCGCGGTTTAAACAAATCTCCTTTTATTGACGCCTTTATGTGGATAAATCGTGTATGTTGAACAGATATTTCTGGGTGTAACATATTGATAAGTCCGGATCTACAATAGGATTTTAAGCCATAAGCCATAAGAAATGAGCGCATCACTGTCGCTTATTCTATTCGGATTCGACTGTAATTGGTCAATTTCTCACAGCTTAAGGCTTAAAACACCTATTGTAGATCCGGGGTAATGAATGCGTTCCGAGATATGAAGCACATGATGCATCATTTGTTCGTGTTGCTCGTCAAATAATAAAGAAAGATAAAATGACATCATGCGCTTCATGCGTAACTCGGAACGCAATCATGTGCGGCCACACACACATAGCACGAAATAGAACCAAACAAAAAACTAAGTTACGAAGACTGTGAATAATATGTCCAGTTTCAAGCTTAAAATATTTACAATGTATAAATAGTGCAAATATATAACTTTTCTAATAAATAATTGAATAATAAGAAATAAAATTACTCATCATTATATACTGCATTACGTATTATACGTATAATCTCACCATCAATCTTATTATTATATACAATTGCGATTCGTAAACCAATAACTTTTGTATATATTTTGAGTTGTTAATAATAATATTATAAGAGTTGAAATAATATTTATTATAAACAATTATACTTAAGAAACTTTTTACCGATTTATAATTAATTTACACGTTACTCAAATTTCGTTCTTAAATTCCTTTCAACGAAATTATTTTGAATATGATGTTTTATCAAGATCAGTCTCTTACTGTCATGCTTTAATTATTATTTATTGCCTTATAAATTAGATTGACGATAATAGAACCGAATGTTTAACACAGAAAGAAGATCAATATTTGAAATTTTAAATTATAACTTAAATTAGATGATTGTATGATAACGTTATTATTTTTCATGAAATAATACTAAAAATAATAATAAATCAATAAATACGTAATTCATGAAAAGCATATTTAATATTAAAAAGTGCCAATCTTCTTTATACCGTGAAGATATTTATATATAAATATATATATTTGTTTATTGTAAGAGTACATTTAATTATTCTAATGCTCTTGGTTTTGTTATATCTAATTAATATAATCATACGTATAAAATGAAGGTATTTGTGATCCAATGTATTCAAATACAGATAAAATTATTTATATTTATTTTATTATAAGAGTATTTTTATAATTACGAAACTTCAGTTTGATAAAATTGTAATCACAGACAATTTTATATTTTAAGACTTATTACTTTAACAAATCGGTAACATTATGGCCCGGGAAAAAATGTTTCATATAAAAGTATATATAATTATATAAATTATATGAAATTATTTATAAAATTAACATATTTTATATACAATTGTATATAATTATATATAAAATATGTCCTTCTTTAAAACATTTTTCAAAAGTGACATTTAAAATGCAAAGTTGATATGATTACAATCATCAAATTTCAATTTGATAAAATTGTAATCACAGATAATTATACTTTAAGATCTATAATGTTACTTTAACGAATCGGTAATATTATATTGTCACGGAAAAAATGTTTCATATATAGAAGTATATATAATTATATAAAATAATTATATAAAATTATCTATAAAATTGACATATTTTATTTACAATAGCACATAAATGTATATAAAATATGTTCATAGCATTTTCTAAAATGTGATAATTAAAATATAAAGTTTATAGGATTACAAATTCATGTTAAATACATATTCATATTGTAGGAATACATATGATTATGTGTATGTAACACACAAAAATTCGTGGACACATATCTAGGACTAATTATACTCCGCATGTAAATATTTTTAATTGTTATTATTTTGTAAATAACGTACTAATAATTTATTTGTTTTAAAAATGCTATCTATATAATATTGTCATATGTACTACTGTAATGCAAGTCTTTTATTCTTTGTTATTATTATAATTATACACTATATCAAAATAGTCTAAATTATAATGTTTTTTTACGTTATATTATTTAAAGTGCATTATAATAAAATCCTGATTTGTCAAGTTGCTTTTTCGCAGGAATCTAATACTAATGTAACACTATTGATATCAAGAATGAATTTAACTGCAAATAATGCTTTGACTACGTATCGGTTACATTATTATACGAGTCAATTATATTGACAGTTGCGTTATATCATATAATAATTACAATATTACATGCTACAGAGCATAAATTAAATGCTATCCTATTGTCGGATACTATTATTTGAATCACATTCTTATGAATGTTAGTCTTCAAGGTAAAGGAGAACCGAAGCTCGTTAATTGTCAATGTCAAGTTAGACTGTATATTTCTAGCTACTGCTAAATTGTATATTACGTTTCAATATAAACGTATACGTAACTGGCATTTATCAGAAAATCGAAATTCTGGCAATGTATTTTTTAGAGATTAATGTTAATTTAAACGTTGGTCTTCTTAATTTCGAGATGTATCCGATTCGTTACTATAGATTACCCCAGTAGCTCCCCCTTACATTCAGGAAAACAACAGCATAATTCATAAAATACCATTGACATTTTTGATGTATGGCTTATTACGTTTGTAGCTATTGTTAATATAGGTTGCCTGGGCCATGCTAGGTATAAATAGGGAGATGTACACATTTTTCCGCAATGGAAGCAATTATCGATTTTATTTCTACTAATATATTCATTCAATTCATCTCTTCGGAAAATTACATGTTTATCTCTGTGAAAATATTGATTTAATTTATTACATACATTATCAAGTAGAAATTTGTATGATGTACCCTATTTTTTCTAAAATTACATTATAGTTCATAACAAGTTCAAAAAAGCAACGTACCTGCAATATTGCTGCAGTGTTTTTGCTGCAAATTGAGCAAGGCTTGGTAACATTACGTCACATTCCCAATTTGTGTCACTGACTAATGGATTCATTGAAATATCTATAGTTTGCAATTTCAAATTAGTGATCCCTGCTGGTAGATATTTTAAAAAGTTATGCGACAAATCCAAAGTCCTAAGATTTCGAAGCTTTTCAATGCCTTGTGGTAAATATCCCAACAAGTTGTGACTCAATTTCAATTCCACTAAAGCATTCAAATTCCAGATATATTCCGATAATTCGATCAGCTATAATTTAATGATATTCATAATGGCAGTGCGATTAATTATAATTGTTAATTCGCGCAAGTTACTTGTAACGTACCTGTTAATTGTAATTTTCCACTCAATAATATAATTGTAACTTAACACACGTATTACGTTACGGTTATGTTGTTGAGTGGAAAATTACAACTAATCAGTACGTTATATGTAACTTTATATTCATTAGGTCTCCATTTATAGCAACACCGCTTTAATTACTGATTGTCGTGATATTTTATAATGACTTACCGAATTATTACTTATATCTAGAAAATGTAAAGTTCTCTTAATATGTGTTTTTTTTAGCCATGCCCATTCAAATCGTCTCAAACAATTATGTGATAAATTGAGCCGTCGAAGACAATGCAAAGCACCCAATTTTCTCGGCAACACATCAATTTTATTATTTGATATGTTCACATCTGTTAAATTTAGCCACTTTGTACTGTTATTGAAGGTCATGAATAATGGCTCGTAAAACTTCAAAAGTGATATAAATATTACAATTTGATTTTCTAAAATTCGACGTTTTTTCTTAATTGGCGTATCTTCAAACATTTCAGAACTTTTTCTCTTATATATAATCTGTATTGAAAATAACTATTTAAATTAGATTTGGGATTGTCAAATTCATTATGCTACAAGTTTAAAATAATAATACTTAATATTATATAACTCTAATACATGCAACTTCTCAAGTGAAGTGATTAATAAGAAATAAATATATTTTTTATTAATACATATTATAGCAATTATTCACCATTGTGCAAAGACAATGTAAGTCTTATATTGTAATTATATATTATTAAGAATCAAATAAATTTTGTAATACAGGTTGCTAATAATATACGTTGCTGATAATATACAAAATTCGAAGATCGTGAATATATAATTTATCCCAAGATTTCTGTAAACAACCATAAAAATTATTTGGTCTGAAAGGATCTGATATATGTAAAAGATGTACGAATTTTCGTGATTTAGGCATAATAAATACTTACAACTTATTACGTCCAATGTATCTCACGTTCTGTTTAAGAAACCAAATTTTTAAATATTTACATAAAGTGAGGTCTACTGCACATGGTAATGTTTTATCATACACTTTCTTGTTTTATTACTTTTGTAGGAAAATGTAGTACTCCATAGACTTGTAATTTCTAATTTATAATATTGCGCGCTGTTTTCTTGTTAATTAAAAATTATTTAAGGTGATGTTCTGACACAAGCCTCGAGGTAACTGTCGTATTTGGTTATTACTAGTTGATTTATATTAGAGTGACACTGTTACAAATGTGAAACAGTATATTTTAAAGGTCGATTTTAAACTAAAGATTATAACTGAAATTAAAGTAATAATAACTCGCTCGTTACATTTATTTTTCAAAAAAATCGGTTTTTTGAGTCTTGTAAATAGTGTTAGCCAATTTTCAAAAATATATATATTATATATATAGTTAAATTTATGTTCAAATAATAAATATATACTTAAAAGATACATTATAAGTTACTTATTAGAGTACTGAATATTAAAATCTAAAAACACATATATTATAGAAGCTATACAAACTATTCAATATACAAACAATATTAGCGCAATTTATCATATCTTAAGAAAAATTTTTTATAACGGTAAATAGAATATTTTTTCGCGGATAACACGGATTCAAAAATTTAATTTATGTGAATTTATCTAATCTACTCCGTTTTCTCGTTGGCTGAGTTGGGTGCACTTCTGTTAACCACGTTTGACATTTGGTTTACTGATTATGTGATATTTAATTTTGTTTATGTGTGATTATAAAAACTAAACTTTAATTGAAAACAATAATTTGGTGAAGTTACATTATATTATGAGGATAAGTTAGAAATTTTACAGAAAAATTGTACGCCTTTAATTTAACTGTGTCAGAAACAAGAACTACCATCAATCATTATTTCATGACTACCCTAGTTCAGAAATGTTAGGCTGGTTTATTCTAGTTTAATTCAGAAAGAAATCTGAGAGTATAAAATCGAGTAGAGAGGACATATCGGCGTTTTTGACAAATCTCCTTTTAGTGACGCATTTATGTGGACAAATCGTGTATGTCGAACAGATATTTCTGAAAGTAACATATTGACAAGTCCGGATCAACAATAGGATTTTATTCCATAAGCCATAAGAAATGGCCGAATCACAGTCGCTTACTCTACTCGGATTCGAATGTAATTGGTCAATTTCTTACGGATTAAGTCTTAAAACACCTATTGTACATTCGGGGTAATAAATGCGTTCCGATTTATGAAGCGCATGATGCATCATTTGTTCGTGTTGCTCGTCAAATGATAAAGAAAGATAAAATGACGTCATGCGCTTCATACGTAACTCGGAACGCAGACATGTGCGGCCATAGCACGGAATAGAAATAAACAAAAAACTAAATTACGAAAACTGTGAATAATATGTCCAGTTTCAAGTTTAAATATATACAATGTATATAGTTCAAATATATAACTTTTGTAATAAATAACTGAATAAGAAGAAATAAAATTAATTATCATTATATACTGCATTACGTATTATGCGTATAATCTCACCATCAATCTTATTATTATATACAGTTCTGATTCGAAAACCAATAATTTTGTATATAATCTCAGTCGTTAATAATAATATTACAAGAATTGAAATATAATTTATTATAAACAATTATACTTAAGAAACTTTTTACCGATTTATAATTAATTTACATTACTCAAATTTCATTCTTAAATTCCTTTCAACGAAATTATATTGAATATGATGTTTTATCAAGATCGGTTTCTTACTGTCATGCTTTAATTATTATTAATTTCCTTATAAGTTAGATTGACGGTAATAGAACCTAATGTTTAACACAGAAAGAAGATCAATATTAAAAATTTTAAATTATAATTTATATTAAATG